AGATTCAAAAGCTTTAGATTGTGGCTAAATCAGGATCATTAAAATTAAGAATGGACGAGTGGTTTTAGTGCCTACAACACTCTTACTTGGCTATAGTTGCTGATTTTTGGTCTTTGAACATCTTCTCGCTGGGAAGATGTTCATTTTAAATTATGGAGCAGGCTGGTTGTTAATTGTTTCAATTAATCAAATGAAAAATAAAATGGTACTTGTTGAGATGTTAGTGCTAAAGACCTGTCACATGTAAAGCACCTTATTCTGTATTACTTTGCAAATGTTTGCCATATAGAAGCTGTTTTATTTATATATGGGAAAAAAACAACTTTTTGGCTGAGTACAGTTTTCTAAATGCCAGGTATATAAAGGTCACACAAGAGAATAATCCTTTTAAAGAGCCCTTGCTGTTAGGACCACTGCGCCTTTTAAAGACACAGCCCAGGGAGAGGGAACAGTACTTTGCATGTAGTGAAACAAGGCTGTGTTGGTAGAAAACTTTGCTCTTGTTTACTCCATTCTTCTGCATCTGCCCACAATTTGGCTGTTGGCTTTGTTGCCAGGAAACTGCAAAAACTGTCTGAAACATAGGTTGGATCAGTAACTTTTTTTTTTTCTTTTTTTTTGTAATAATGCGATTACAAATGTAAAACTGATCCGCAGATTTTGTTCCTTCAGATAACATGCAAAATATTGTTGCAAACCCTTCAAGATGTAACTCTAAAACTTATGAATTCTGTTACCATGTACCAAAGCATAATTTAGATATCATAATAAGAAATAAACTATGACATTTCAGGAAGCAGGAATCTTTTACCCTAACATCAATGGTTGGCGAAACACACATACCTACAACACATAAAAAGAATCAGTTGGTCTCATTATGTTTCATGTTAATTTCTTCCCACTTGCCCAGGAGCTTCTGAGTACCCAAATCAATGTAGATGACCCTGCTCTGCATTTGGCGGTTCCAGTTCTAGTTATTTTTTTTTTATGTTATTTTGTAAATGCCTTCCACATGAAGCTAGTATTATTTTGGTTCACCGCATGACTTAATTAATACTTCTTGGTTATTTTAACTTCACATTAACCCCACCTTGGGAGATGTGTGGCTCTTAAGTGAACAAGAAATGCCTGTTGTGTACCACTGCTTTAAATGAACTCACACTTATAAATTTACTGAGAGTTAGGACTCAAAACTTTAAGATGATCAAGGTGAAAAGCACACTATATGATAAACTTCTTAGAGTGTGTCAAACTGAGCTGTAATTTAAGTTTCATTCAGTTATGTTAGGAGTTTTCACACAAACAAGAGTATTGGGCTTCAGCAATTCAGTTCATTTGGCACAGAAATTTTAATTCTACATGAATCTATTGATCCCACTGAAACCTTTTCACACGTTGTCAACTAGCAGCCACAAATCTAAATGTGATTTATCTGGCTCTTATATGATCAAACAAAGCTTTAATAATTGTGAAGCAAAAGGAAATGATTTTCCAAATGTCTCAGAAGTAAAACTTTTGGCATTGGTATTTAACACCCTTTACTCTGATTCCCCTAAATGAAATCCAGCAATCACCTGAATAAAAATGCATGCCACACTTTTCTGTTCTTACTTGTAAAGGTTTTTCAAGGCTTTGGATCCAATTTTCTTCCACTTCGCCTTTATGAACATTATGTTGGTCAGGAACATACAATTGAAATTACATACATTGAAGTTGTGATTGCCATGTGACAAAACGGTACATGTTTACTGATTGCAATTAAAACCACTGGAACCAGCTATCCGTGCCACAGAGTCAGAGGGAACATTTTGAGTTTTAGTGTGGACTTGCGGTTTCCCCCAGCAGAGCTTGATGACTTTTACACACTCTTGTGTAAAAAGCCTAAGAAAAACTGATATGATTCCTAGAAATTTGTGCAGCCTCCACAAAATACTAGGCTACTATGACCCGTCAAATTTAGAGTTCAGAAGAAGCACAAGATTAATCTCTCAGAAGCATTTTATATTTAGAATGCTCTCAAATCTAGTTTTCACTTATGTAAAAAACAACTGTGAGTTTGATTACCTTAGATCTCAGCAGCTGTGCTGTTGGAGAGCCAGAGGAGAGTAATGATATGTTTGAAGTTGCGGTGTCAAGCAGTGATGTGTGAGTTGGTATTTGGAAAACATCTGAAACGTGATCGGTGTAAGGCCACATTATAAAAGGCATTGCGGTAACATTTGTGATCCCTCTTGTGATGTTAAATAAAATGTCACATATTCTTTCTGCTGCCTGTGATCGCAGCCAAATGTTCCAGGGAATTGGGAGTATAATACACACACACACACACACACACACACACAAATGCATTTATTGGGTTTTACTGGTTGAATCGCAGGCTGTCATTGTAAAACTGACATCTCTTTATAAGTTAATCATAGTTTAGATGCTTCTTTATTTCTGCTAAATGCTTCAAAAGAAACCTTATTTTTATAAAGCTAAAGTGCTGCGGAGGTCTCTGCATGCATACATGAAGCAAAGTCTGGGATTTAAATGACTTTAGCACCTTGCAGTCAAACAAAGGACAAACAAACTATCTTATCTCTTTGACTTTGAGTAACTGAAGTATAGTACAGTAGTTTGGAACATAATACAGGGATTCTGTCCACCTCAGCTGTTAAGAGACCATCTGTATACCCCTGCATAACAGATCAGCGCCACTGAATATTCATGCATCATCCCTCCCCTTATCACATTAGATTAGAACCCATGTGGCGAGAAACCAGAAAAAAGAGGCTGACAGGACTGTTTCGCCGTCACAGACCCTTAGAGCTGCGTGTTAAATAGCACATTTGCCAAATGGACACTCAGGTGAGGGATGGCTTGTTCTGTGAAGACTAACCTTTTTCCTTCATCTTCTTCCCTTCTTTATACTTTTCCATAAACTTTAGAACTCTGTATTAAATTTTAATTTAACATTTTATATAAAGTCTCTTGCAAAACTGTTTATACCCTGACAAACATTTCCCCATGTTTTTCCACATAACAACAGTGTTTTTACTGGGACGTTGTGTGATAGACCAACACATTTAAGACCTTAATTAGAAAGGGGAGGAGGAATTTTACACAATCTGACAGTTCTCAGCCTTAAAGAGTCAAATCTTTGTAGCACCGCCATTTTCGTCCATTTGCAGCTGAAGAATTGTAGGGTATCTCCCTGCTAGCCTGAAGGTCTTGTCATCATTTTGGAATTGAATTCAAATCTGGACATCCTACAACGAAAATATGTTTTCACCTAAAACATTTGATTGCAGTTTTGGCTGTAAGCTTAGGGTCCTTGCCCTGCAGGAAGTTGAACCTCTTCTCTGGTTCCAAGTTTTGATGCCATCTAATACACTTTCTGCTGCTTTTTCTCCATCTATTTTTCCACTGACTGAACGCTTCCCTGTTCCTGCTACAAACCTGTTATACCATGGAGATGATATCTTTGAGTAGATGTAGTGTTTTTTTTTTCTCTACTTATCCCGTTTACATGTAGCCTGACACATTTCATTTCGATCTCATCTGACCAGAGCCTTTCACGCGCTGCCGCTGTGTCCTCCACATGGCTCGTGGCAAACTGCAAACGGATTTCTTTTTTGTCACTTGGCAATTAAGGCCAGATTTGTGGAGTGCACAGCTAATAATTGCCCTGTCAACACATTCTCCCACCTGAGCTGTGGATTGGTTTCTATTTACTCATTAAATGACTTTTCAAAGCGAATGGATACACGATTGATTTTGGGGGGTATTTGAGTAAAAGGGGCTGGAAACAAATGTATGCATTTATCAGGTTTTTTTTTATTTTATTATTTTCCTTCCACTTGGTTTATTACATGCCCCAATAAAATATGTTGAACTGTGAGATTGTAAAAGTACAACTGATGTGAATACTTTGCAATATATATATATATATATATATATATATATATATATATATATATATATATATATATATATATATATATAGAGAGAGTGAAAGTATACAGGTTTCAAGATGTGCAGTTGTTAGTAAAGCCTAAATGTTCACAACAAAGCCATAAAGGGATGTTTGAAACTATTTTTGGAAACTACCAGTTCCCTTCATTCAAGAAACATAAAAACCTAATGGACAAGGCTACCTGCCGCTGAAATAACTAAATGGGGCATAAAAGCAGTGCAAGTCTTTTGTGCTTCCCTTGCTGTAGCCAAGGTACTTTAATTAGTCAGTCACCATTTCTTGGCAATTGAACGGTTGGAAGGAGATAATGATTTAAGTCATTATTGCATCAGTCCAGAGATACACTTCCATGTCCACATCTCTCTTCTGTAAAAACCCTGAAAAGGCTGTAGCCCTTCTTTTTGTTAGCCACATTAATTGGGTAGTCTTACCTTTTCAGATAGAAGTGGGCTCTGCTACTTCAAAATTGGTGTAGTATGGATGTAAGAACTTTTAGGAATAGTTTTATCTCTCACCTGATGGGTAATAAATCTTCCCATTAGCTGCCCACAATAGCTAATCCGTAATTGATGTCAGTGTAGTTAAGGTGGAAATATGGCTTTTTACAGTGCGAGTGTGCCGGTCAGCTGTGTTTTATGTGCTCCTGGGGCTTACACATGAATGAGGGTCACTTATCTATGTGCCTCATGAATCCCTAAACAGCTGCTCTCCGCTGGCAGTGGCAGTCAGGTAGTTTGTTATAGGATTTTAACCAAATGCGGCTGCAGAGCAACGTGGGGAAACATCTGTTGTGTGTGGACAACAATGCTGTGAAGTATAAATATATTTGCATATGCTGAGGTTCTTCCTCATGTAGAACAGGTCTTGAGGTATGAGCAGGTTGACAAAAAAAAAAAAAATGTTTACTTGCAAATAAAACAAATGATGGTGAATCTTTTTATGTCGACTGGTGTGCGCTCCTGATTTTGCCTAAAACCGGAATTTTCCTCTTCATGTGGACATGATTAATTATTGTTCTGGTTTCTCTTTTTTTCTGCTTCAGGTGCACAGGAGGTGGTGATCAGATGTCCCCTCAATCACATACAGTGTATTGGGACGAGAAAATGTATTCATTTCAACAAGCTCTGCAACGGGGCCAGAGACTGTGAGGACGGGTACGATGAAGGAGTTCACTGTCGAGGTAAGAGAAGCTTTCATGTTCACTCCTCTTGCCTTGGGTTTAGAATGCATAAAATGATAAGAGTTTTCATTATCACAGCAATTAATCAGATTGTGCTCATCTTATTTGGATTATTAACGTTGTATAATTTATTTCACCCATTAAATTAGAATTCATTTTTAAAACATGTATTTGTGTTAAGTGTTTAACTTTCATATCTAGTTAATGTTCCCTAAAATACTGTTGCATATTTTAGCAAGGGATATTCCAGATATGTGCTTTACTTTGTATAAATTAATCGTTCATTTTTATCCACTGTTAGAAGCTGTTTGCTTTGTTGTTTAATACACTTTCATCAGCTACTTAGTAGATGACAGAGAACAGCTTATTTCATGCTACGGTGTTTTGAGTTGGCATTTTCCCCCTTTTGCTGTTGAACTGGTTGCCAGGGTGATTTCTCGTCATCCCTACTGTCAGAGCAGGCGAGAGAAGCAGCGGGATGGCAGCGCCAGGTGTTGTGCTGTACACAAGTTTTTGTTGTTGCTTACCTTTTGTGCAAAGACGCCAAGCTGTTACGGACACCTGGCTTCTACGAGGAGGCAATATTTGCCCTGCAATCGCTGAGGTCCTGGCACAACAATAGCACCCGTCAGACATAAACCGCAATCTGTCCTGACCCCGTAAGACAGTTAAAGTCAAGCTGGGATGAGTGTGTGTATGATTCAGAGGTGCAAAGAGGTGTCAGTGTCTGATTTACTGTCCTGAAGGAAGAAAACACTATTTAAGTATTCACCTCTCTTTTTTTTTTACATTGCCATTAATTTAATC